GCTCTGCCCTCCTCTACCCAGCCAGTCATCCCATCAGAGAAGGCTATCAGATTGGTCAAGCGTGCTTTCCTCCCTTTGGTGAATCCATGCTGACTACTCCTGATCACCTTCTTGTCCTCCACGATTGCGAGGACCTCCACGATAACCTGTTCCATCACCTTTCCAGGGATGGAGGTGAGGATGACAGGCCTGTAGTTCCCTGGCTCCTTCTTCTGGCCCTTTTTGAAGACTGGAGTGACGCTGGCTTTCTCCCAGTCCTCAGGCACCTTTCCTGCTCTCCATGTCTTTTCCAAGATGATGGAGAGTGGCCTAGCAATGACATCCGCCAGCTCCCTCAGCACTTGTGGATGCATCCCATCAGAGCGCATGGACTTGTGGATGTCAGCTTTTCCTAAATGATTTCTAACTCGATCCTCTTCGATCGAGGGAAAGTCTGCCTTTCTCCAGACCTTTTCCCGGTCTCCAGGTTCTGAGATTCCTGACGGCTGGTCTTAGCAGCAAAGACTGAAGCAATGAAGGCATTCAGCAACTCTGCCTTCTCTGCATCCTTCATCATCGGGGCCCCAGCCCCAGTCATTATCAGGCCCCCATTTTCCCTAGTCTTCCTTTAGTTGCTGATGTATTTATAGAAGCCCTTCTTGCTGTCCTTGACGTCCCTTGCCAGATTAAACTCCAAATGGGCCGTGGCCTTCCTTGTCGCATCCCTGCATACTCAGATAATATTTCTATATTACTCCCAAGTGGCCTATCCCTGCTTCCACCTTCCACATGCTTGCTGCTTACATTTGAGTTTTACCAGGAGCTCCTCGTTCATCCATACAGGTCTCCTGCCCCCTTTGCTTGACTTCTCGCTTACTGGGATGCACTGTTCTTTAGCTTGGAGGAAGTGCAGGTTGGTGGCCATGCGGCCTCAAGTTGAACAGAAGTGTTCAACAAGTTTGCCTCTTGCTCTTCAGCCTCCACCAGCCTCATGGGACCGGTGAGTGGTCCTTTACTTTTTTGAGCTTTGTGTGAATTTCAGCTGTCCATCTGACAATAGCTGCTCTAATAGCTATTCTCAGATAGCTGGGAGAACACATACATCATTAGAGAAAATGCCAAAACACGCAGTACTTTTCTAAGCAGACTTCTGTTCCAGTCACAATTTGTACGTTTCTTGGAAAGATGAAGGTTGTATAGCCTTTATGTTTATGTATTATCTTAATGTGTATAGCTGCTCACCAAGAAATTAGTCATAGTTCTATGTGCATGTTAATGAGCAGACATCACTGTTAGATAATGCACAAGTAATTTTGCAAGAGCCTTCATTTCTTTAAAAATTATATTTTCACTTAACCGAGTTTTAGTGCTTAAATCCATAGCAACAGATGTGCAAAGTTAAACAAGCTCATTTGTATCTTAGGCCTCTAACACTTTACTATGTCAGTGTATTTTAAACTCTTCTGACCACAGTTCTAAATAGTATTGATTCTACATGTTCCACATCAACAACCTACAGAAACAATGGCTATTGCATAGACAGGTAACGAGCATAAACATATTTTCATAAAGAAGCTATTTGTACGTATGTTCACAGCAGTGTTATCAGCTGTTTCCACTGGCCTCCAGGTTGTTTCCTATAAGGACGAGTTTACTAAACAGTGGGAACAAGGAGAAAAACATTCCTGCGCTCTTACTTGGAACCACTGCTACTCAAAAGATGAAAACGGAAAGGAAACAGAAGTAATAATAGGCAAAAAAAATCCAGTAACAACATGAAATAATAAAACAGAGATGGAGAAATGACTTATTGGATCACGAAAGAGCTCTACAACTCGTGTTTTCCTTGCGGCTTTGCTTTAGACTTCCTTGGCTGAATTTGTGCAAGTTACATGACTTACCTGCAACTCAATGATCAAACCTATAATGAGGTGAAAATAATATCTGTACACTAGTAATACAGGGTTGCCGTAAAGCTTGATTAATTTTTTTTTGGTGCATAAACATTTTGTGCAAGCTCCTGATATGGTACAATCTTGCCTAAGGGCCCCTGAAGTCAGCAAGAACTCAAACAGAAGACAGACACACAAAATATTATTTAAAAAATAGATAGCGTGTTATATTACTAGTTAGGCCTCTTTTTCAGCTTGGTAGCACTTCAGCACTCTACATGCTTTATGAACACATTGGGCATAGCTGCCAAGATCATTTTACAGCCACTATCAGATCACATTTTAACCAGCAGCGTGGGGATATAAACGCATACCAAATAAACACAGAGGTTTACAGACCACAAGATTAGCTACCCCGGCACACCAACTCTTATTTCCCATATAAAATACAACTAGCAGATCGTTTGCAGAGCAGGATTTCCTGTGCAGGCTGATGCCTTTCTTACCTGCACGACCTCTGACGACAGAATGCCATGGGAAAATGGCAATAATACTGGTTCTCATGTGAAAAGCTTACGGAATCACACACGGTTCTTTGTTTTTCTGTGGTTTATTCCACAGCTTGTGGTTGATTCTAGCACACGACGGGAAGCAGAGCCCCTCTTGCAAATAGCTAGCATTATACAACCAGACCACAATGAAAAGTTGGGCTTTATTCTTAGGGGCATTGATTTCAGTGCGGGATACTCAGTTCCTACAGCCTCAGTCTAGTAACTTCCACCTCAGAAATTATATTCACTTACTGCTATTGATCCAGGTTAAACCAGCACAAGAAAGGCAGGCCTCTGTTAAGATTTACATTTAATTTGCATCCACATTTTCCATTTTTGGGAGCTACATATTTATTTACTCTTTTTTGATACTATTATTTAACTGACAGCATAATGAATCCTAGGTAATGTTTCCTTTTCTTAGGTTTTGCTTCAGTGACAAGCGATGTTTAGAGAAGCCCTCACAACAGAAATTGTGTGTCCTCTTAAAGACTGCAGATATCATGTTAATTTCTTCAGAAAGGAATTCCAGCAATAGTAATGAAAACACTGGAAAGCTCATGAAATACAATATGCCGCTTTGCAATTAGGCAAATGCCTTAAACCCTTCTGTTTTCATTTTTAATGCCTACTCTTTGCCCAACTCTGACTTACAACTTACAGTACAAATGCACGTAATACTTTAAAGAATGTATTTGCCAAATCTAATGTTGAAATACATTACATGACAGGCTAATGCTTTCAAGTTTAGAAACTGTTTATAAGCAGATATTTAAAACCAATGCATCATCTTTTCAAAGGCAGTCCTTAAAAGGATTGTAACAATTTGTCTTGGGCAAGTTTTGGCCTGATATTTATTTATAGTTGCCATTAAAAAAAAAAGGGTGCGTTTTACTTCTGCTCTTTTACTCTGCTCTTTGTATTTGGGATAACATATTTCTCAGAACTACAGAATCATACAGTCTACACTGTAATGCATAGATCCAAGATCACATAGTAATATACAAAGAGACATTACTCACATTCAAGGATGCTAGGCAGGCATGTCGAAACTTCTGTGACTTACATCAGTAATCATGATTGTTTCACCGCTTATCTTGTCTTCCCTCCATTCTCTTCACTGTTTTAATTTGAAAGGCTTATGCCTAAAGCAACTGTGTTAAGGCTTGTTGTTTCACTGTTCTCATGAGATGGTAAAGGAATTTTTGACTAAGTTGTGGCTGTATTTCCAACATGGAATAAACTTTATGTCCTGCCTCAAAATGTTGCTACTACGCGCTTTCCAGCCAGTAATGTTTGTTGAGCTATAAACTGTTAGTTAAGAGGCATATATTGTTGAAGCATCAGTACGGTACCAGTACCCTCTATCCAAACAATTCTCCAGGTCTCACCTCTGTTAACGCGCCTTGCCTGACATGGTATGCCTCATCAAAGTTAGGACCAGGGCTTCTGCTCTCCTCTAGCAGGGAGATCAAATGTGTTCTGAGGAAGCAAAATTTTTATTTCCTAAACTTGCCACGTCCTCTCCACAAAAAATAAAGGAAAACAAAACACAGTAACTGCTAGCAAATATTCACAACTATAGCCTGAAAGAATTTGAGGCTTGAAAAAATAGAACTGTATATGAATTAGTAAAGTAGCTGATGGGAAGCTTTTTTTCTTTGGACTTCCATTAATTTGTGGAAGGTTAAAAGAGGGCACACAAATATTTAGGCTATCACTCCAAAGGATTTGAGCAGAAATACATTCCATTTCCTGTGGGTGTTCAGGAAAACCCAGTCATAGTGACTACATTTGTATGAAACAGTCACAGTAAATTTTATTTTGAATGTTTCTGTTACAAGCCAGCTTCTTTTATTTTCAGTTCACGTGAACTTTGGATCAAAAGCTCACCTAAAAGCTTGTCTAGAAGGTCAGTTTTGATACATCTGACCTAATCTGTAGCCTTTTAAACTACTATAGGGTGGTATTCTCACTGTCAGTATTGTGTAGTTCCATAGCCTATTTCGTTCTTTAATCTTCCACTACAGATAAATGAGAGGTTAAACAGCCAGATTAACTGAGTGGTTCACTTTAACTGAGTCTTTTCTTTGAAGCTATTGGAATCAGTAACTGAAAATTCCCAGAACAGATTTAAGGACCCAATTCTTGCTTGCAACTTTCTCAAACCAGTGAGTGTTCTTAACATTCATGCTTGTGAATTCTAAAGAGTAGGCTACTGGACTTCCCCTATGTACTTGCCTCAGTAATATGAGCTCTTAACACTTTTTGAAATTCAATCTCATGTTTCTTACTTCAGGTAAAAGCAAAGTAAAACAATTAGGAGAGGCTTGGTTTTTTACTGCTAACGTTATCAGAAAAACAGCAGTCAAAAAAAAGGGTCAAGATTGTATTTCTACAACTAACAAAATATACGTAATATTAGGTCTTAAATGCGTTAACTGGAAAAGTAGAAGAGCTTACTCTGTGACTGATCACTGCTATTCGGGAGACCTAACTGCTTAACCTTGAAGCACTCAGTAAATCCTTCTTTAATTAATTTTTAAAAACCATTTCAAAATTACACTGTAGTACTTACTGGATTGAGAACCAACGTGAAGAACAACTCTCCTCCTTGGATACTTTTGTCTAGTTCCTTTGGGCCGCCAGGATATTCCTTATAGAAAATTGTGTGGGTGAATAAGCCACAAGTTTGCCTTGGAAGCACCTGAGTTAAAAAACCGGGGGGTGGGGGTGGAGAGAAATTTGCAAAAGAAAAAACGTTCATAGTTTTAATGAGATAATAAATGCCAGGTAAATAACATGTAACTAATAATGTTCCTTCACGCTAACCGCTGTGTAGATTTGCCATTAAAACTTTACCAAAAGTCAATAGAGTTCTAGTTAAATGAATATACCAACAGATCAGTAAATACTGCTTATTAAGAAAGACAAAATTTTTATTATCAATGAAATCATAATGTTCAAAAATTCATCACATTTTGTTTGAAACTGGAAATCTTAATATCACGTTTTACCGTGTGGTCATCAAAGCTTTCTGAATTTTTAAAGGATTTGAAAAGTGATCTGAAATATCATTGGTTTAGTTGTACTTATCTGTTTCACTTTTTACTTAAAAGATGGCTTTGCTGTAATTTAACTTGGAATTTGAAAGAGAGACTAGCTTGTTCTCATTCAGCTGTGCTAGTTTTGTTATACAGCTGCAACAGAAAGTAGCACTTTTGCCTAAACAAAAATACTTATTTTTAAAAATCTGCAAAGAATAAGTCTTCTGAGTAAGAATAAATACAATTAGGTTTCGCATTAGAGCGCCAAAATGTTTTCTTTTCCATCATCTTCAGAAAACAGTTCACTGGAGAGGGGAGCACCTCAATTATACCTGTATATTTTTTTTCCCCCCGAATTGACAACTGAGTCATATTTACACTGGTTCATGTGTAAATCCAAAAATGGGATCTTTCTCAAACATTTCAGTCCCATTTAGACACTTCTATGAAAGCATGAACTTTTAAAACATGCAAATCCCTTACTCGAAAGAGACCGTGGTTTTGCAGAAATTGTTCTTTTCTTGTGGTTATATGTTTCAACATCTTTTGGTATTGCACAGGATACTATGGCCTCTGATTGTAAATTCTACGTTGTCATAAAACGTACAGCATTTGTGTGTTTGCTATAAGCTTGTACATGGTTTTTAAATTCTGTGGATTTCACTGATGAAATACCAGAACAATTCTTTACAGAGACAGGGAGTGAAGCTGTGCGGGACTGGAAATGCTCTGGCAAATCTTACATAGTAATTTTATTACTGTATACACTCATCACTATAAACCTGCAGATACAAAACAGTAATGCATTTGCCCTAGAGAACTGAAAGTCTGTGATTCCCGAAAAAGGTGGTCTTATACAACTGTTCATGGTAAACTGTTTTCAGTCCCACTGTCCTTTCTCTGCAAACTTCTGTTAAATCTTTTAATGCATCTTAAAAATGGTATGTTTTTACAAAAAAGAACTATGCAAAGAGATTTCTGAAGATTCTCAGAACCAATCAATCCTATTCAAATGCTTTACACCCCCTAAGCATATCTACAAACCCATTATTTTACTTAAAGCTAACGGTTTGAAGAGAACAAGCTTTAGTTTAAATCTGTATGGTGACAGTTTCTTTCCCGGATGTCTGCAGATCATTTTAGCTTGCTTCATCTAAAAACAGATCCAAACATTAAAACTTTGGAGTATTATTATTTTGCTCAGAAAAATGGTATCTATGGTAACTCGAGGCCAATATAAGAATCATGGGATAAGCTAAGTGGCAGTCTTATGTTGTGCTAAGGCACCTGACACCCTCCAAAACTGCTTGTTGCACCCAGAAGCATAACATAGTATGCACGCTAGTATCTTTCCATATCTGAATCAGAAAGAGCCTATGCCCTGCTGACTGGATGGTATCAACATAAGACCCTCTGTGTCAGTAGCGTGCGATCACTTTCAGCAAATACTGCTGTCAGATACAGATTACATAATATGGAACAGCTTATTTGTGTGTTTTGATTTAGAGTTGCCTCAACAGAGCAGTTTCGTAGCCTGAGGGGGGTCTTCCTTCCCTCCAGTCTTCTGAACGTTTGCCTTGCACCGAGTTACCATAGATACCGTTCTCTAAGTAAAATAACAATACTCCACAGACTGATCACCTGGGCCCCAGGCCTAGCTGTGGGGTTAAGTCACAGTGCAAAGCACAGTTCACACCTCTGTGCAGCAAGAAGGAAGATGAAGGCAAGCATGTGAAGTTCAATGGAAGAAAAAAAAATATTTATGCATAAGATCCCGATTCTCAGATGGCATAAACTGGCAAAACTCCTTTACAGTTAATAGTACTATGCAAATTTAAAATCAGCTCTGTTAAAAGATGTAAAGTTGGTTTTTTTCTTCTGAACCAGTATTAACAGTAGGAACAGTACAGTTAACACTCTGTTAACTGATAACAGTGAGGTTCCTAGAGGCCACCTTCATTAGCAGTACCATCAGCAACAGACTGATTTTAATTAAAAAGATCCTGTCATATATATCTTACTATTTATGCACAGCAATATGCTGTTCTCACAATATGAACTTCTAGGATACTGTGGTTTTCCACTTAAAACGGTAGAGTGGTTGCAATACGAACATCATAAATACAACTCACCATGATATTTTTGTGGATGAAGCCGCGTCTATATCTTGCGGGTTTCAAATGTGGGTATTCTTCTGTGCTGGTAACTCTGATATTCCACACCTTCTTCCAGGCTTCATAAAGCTGAACATGTACTGGATAGACCCCGGAATGGTGTGGAGCCACTGCATAGCCCATATCAGTTGGAATACCATGCTCCTAAAACATTAACAGGAGACTGTTTCAGAACATTTAAGAAGCTTGATGTTTTGGCATCTCACAAATCCTTTGTTCAGGAGAGATCAAGAATAGGTCTGAAATGCAGATAACGGTGACTTTAAAATATGCAGAGGTGTATAAGGGAGATGGAAGGTGGTCTAGTGAGGATGAAATGCACAGTAGTTTAATGCAAGAGCCTGCTTAACAAATTTTTTTTTTATGAGTACATATAGAAGAGTGATATGAATGTATTTTAGTTAGTTTCTTCAATCAATACTTAAAAGGAAAGTTGCACCCTTTCAAGTTCTTGAGAGGAATTCGCTCACAAACTAAGGATCCATAAAGAAAGCTACTGGCACATATTCAGCACAATGACTAGCATTTGGCAGTTGCAGTCACAAAAATGTAATTTCCACTACATGTGTCTACACAAGTACTTGGATTCTTATTTGAAAATCACTGCGTTTCCCCTCAAGTCCAGCATAAAAGCGTGTTCAAAACACAGTTTAACCATTTTACAGCGTCATTTAAAAAAAAAAAAAAAGGAGAAAAATTAGCTACTTGTAAAATTCTGAGGATAACATGCAGATGTCCTAGACTAGCCCTTTTTACAGCACATCTTGTACTTCTTATTTTTCTTTCTTGTTTACATATTGACCCTGCTGGTATTACTTTCTCTTGATATTTGACATATTTTCTTTCCAGTTTCTAGTTTCCAAAGTACTTTTATGAATTTTGACACCTTTTCTCCTTCCTTTCAGGTTACCTTTCAAAAGAACAGTATACCGCACATGTTTCTGTGATAGTCTGATTAGTAGTATACCCTTTTTGTCCGTAAGCTGTTATTTGAAGAAAACTCTCATCGTGTTGAGATGATTTAGGCAAACGGCCTTTGCACAACCTTTGAATTCTGTTTAAGAGTTCTTCATATTGTTTGTATTTGTATAGTCTTCTTCACCATATTTTCTAATTATGCTTCCTGGGCAAAGATGAGAGGTGGTTGATATTTGGGTCTCTTCCTTCAAATAAGCTAGTTACTAAGGAACATCAAAAACTCAGTAAGTCGTATCTCAAAGAACAAACGAGGGCATGACCTCAGTAAAATCATCTTTCTTCATCTTCTCTGGAGGAGGACTGGACCACTGCAGGAAAGTTAACATATCAGACTTTATCGAGCTGTTCAAGAGAGCAATGACAAGGATAGACTCTTTAAGAAGTGGTATGCTGCAAAATATGGACTTTTCTCAGCTCTTACGTAAGGGATTTATCACAAAGGGAGCTTAGGGAGGGATGAAAGAAGTCCTTCTGACCAGAAAGAAAAGCCAGAGCAGGAAGTTAGTTCTGTAGGAGGTGCTAATGCCACACTGTGAGGATGTTGAACTGAACCCACACACTAGTCAAAGTGATGAAGAAAACCCACACTGCCACACACTGATTTGTTAATAAGCTGATGGAATGACAGGTTCTGAAAGTAAAATGCTGACTTGTTTTCTGTAATAAGACACTCTGACTTGTATGCTGAGATTGCCAATGGGACTCCCAGCTGTTACACAGAGATGTGTGGACTTCCACCCACCAGGAGTGGGCCTACACCCTCACTCATACACTTAGGCCACTCTCTAACAATAACTGGTTTGGGTCGCTAATAGGGCCTACCAGATTCAAGTTTTGGATATGATGGTTAAGGGCTTGCTAATATTCTGAGCCATCTAATTCTCAAGAAATAAAAATATAGATGTACTTTCTTTAGAGGATTCGCATAGCAGCAATATGGTCATATTGCTTTCTCTGCCCACAGGTTTAGGTCCCTTAGCATAAAACACACATTTTGTCTTCTCACACTAAAGCTCTCATACTCACTTTTTTTCATCTACTCGAAAGTGATGTGTTAGTAGCTCACTGCATGGAAGTCCATATTGCAGCAATAAATACAACATACATAATGAATGTGGCATGCTTAAACGGCTATCACCTTGACCAGGTACAAATAGATAGAATAATTAAAGTACCCAAGTGCTTTACACAAAAGCCATGACATGTTTTAAATCACATCTATTACACCACTGTGTTTCCAAGCACATTGTATCCCAACCTCTATGAGCCTAGAGCAGAACCAATCATAATTTAAAAACAACAAACGTAGGAAGATAACAGCGCTGTGCTTGGGTGTTTGGAAGATTTGCCACCAAAATCTGAATAGCTGCCAACTCCTTCCTTCCCAGGTGCTCTAAGGGATTTTCCCCAAAACTTATAATGGTTTAATAACGTAGTATTAGTGCATGGTTTGTTCTCCGAAATAGGACGATTCTCTCGAACCTTGCCGCAGCTTTCGGTCCAGAAATCCTGGTCTTCAAAAGAAAAGGTCTTTAATCTAAACTTGGCCACCATATCTTCCTTATTGCAGTGGTAAATAGTCCTTGGGTCACAAATACCATTAGATGCACAGAGACGCTGCTGTATCCACATGTGGGTATATATCATATATGCACAAATGAAGATACCTGAATGCATCCTTAATGTATGCCATTTGTGATAAGCTCAGTCAAGATTCAAGATTAGACATATCTTTTATAAATAAAATATGACAACTTTACTAACAAATCAAAAAAAAAAAAAGGTTTACAAAAAGCCAGCATTTGCTTCTGTATAGGGAGAATGTAAGAAATAAGACTTCACAGATATGAAGCCTGCAAGGAAAAAAAGCTTTTTTTTTTTTTTAAATTCATTTAAGGGCTACTCTGAACCTGGTGTAATGGGGTGTTAAACAGACAGACATGGTTTTATCATATTTCAGAATCCTTTTTATTTTTTTATTTTTTACAAATTTAAAATACCAGTGAAATTATTTTCTCCCTTGACAATTTATGGCACGCTAGGAACATATAATGGGGCATACGATTTTATCATTCTGAGGCTGGTGTAGCTTTTGGGATTCTCAGAATGCCTTATCGTTCTCTGATAAGACCCATACACTCCATCATTAATTATGCTACATCCGCAGCCTATGTAATCTGCTCTTTTACAGCTGGGTGCGCAGTATATGTAATGTGCCAAAGTTGGAATGAGAAAATCCGGCCTATTGGTTTAGTGCACGTGGAGATAAAGAACGGATACACCATCAGAAAGAATGGATACACCAAGAGTTACACAGCTTTCCGCTATTTAATTCCATTACAGACATTTCAATTCCTCTTCCTTTTATCTTAATCATTTCTACTTCACTTGAGCTTCCATAAACATCAGAAAGAATCTTTATAAAACATGTAAGAAATTGCATTCTCTAACGTCCCATATAATCTTTTTTATTCAACTCTAAACAAATGGCTGAATTTTACATTTTTCCCCAAGCTTTAGCAGTCTCTAGTAATAAAAACGTGATGTAACTAAAAATCTTTCTAATTATTAGCCTATCATCTTCCATGTATTAGTGTCTCCATTACTGCTTACTCTCTGTAATTCTCAAGTTGAACATTTCACAGACATTGTACACATTCAGTTTGACAATACATCAGCAAACTCAGTCTCTTTCAGAAAAGCAGGATACTTTCTTATTAAACTAAATGCTTTAAGCAAATGAAACATAATGAGCAGCATGGTACTATACACAGTTAGAGACACAAAATATGTTTAATACAAGGTATCTATAAGTACTAAGAGCATTCTAAGCAATGAAGAAAACAGGAATTGATTAAGTTGATCTAAAACAAGGTTGAATGTAAGTTGATCTAACAACATTTTAATGATTATTTAGTGTAGACTGATCTCAGGGAGTGTCTTAGGTCTTTTTTTCCACATCAGAATTACAAGAACTACTTCAATTTCCAATGGAACTTGTGACAACACATAGAATTACCGAAAAGAAGGAAGTTTGAACACACAATTTTTAAATTTTCTTGGTTTTAACTTCAACTGAAATGTTTTTTTTCCAAGGAAACAGTAAAGTTGAGCTGGCCTATATTCAGTACAACTATGGTTTCCAAGAGACTTGGTAAATTCTTTGGTAGGCAGAAAGCCTATACCTTATTCAAAGCACTGTTTTCAAACAGAAATTTAAATTGTTCAATATTCTAGGTCTGTACCTTCCCTCTTACGCTGAGACACGACCGCTAGCAGCAACGCACTGCTTGTTGCCGGATCTCCCTTTGATAAAAACTCAAAGCACACACTTAAATCGTAAAATTCCCAAAGTTTGCTAGCTTAAGAGACAAGAGAGTAAATCATGAGGGCTCACACCTCTTTCAAAACTTGCTTTTTTAATGCTTGATATTATAACCTAGGTTTTTTGGTAAATTGTATTATATACCTTCTCATTTATCTCTTCTCTAAAGAGAAGACTCCAGTTGCTCTAAGTCTATTTCATAGGACCATTTCTGAACTTTTTGCATTAATCAAAAATACAGGTCGCTATAAAAGTGATCATTACAGCTACCTAACAGAAAATACAGTGCCACATTATTAAAGCTGGATAAAAACTGATAGAAACTGTACACTCCCTTGAATAATTTAGTCCTTAGAATAATCTTCTATAATGAAATCCTAATCTTTTAAAATAATCTTAAATAATTTTACATATATTTAAAAACAAATATAAACTAAATTTAGCATAATTGATTTCTTCAAATAACATAATACATTTATGTAGGACATTTCTGGGTTGATTTTATTGTATGATACTAATTGACAGAAAATGAGTACGCCTGTTTCCCTAGTCTCCTCAGACTTAAACAGCTGCTCTTATTTTTTCTTAGCCTTATTGACACAATTTTTTTCAGAGCTTTACTCTGAATATATAATTATTAAAGGCAATGTTTTTCAGAATAATTTTTTTTTATAAAGCTGGTCTAAAGGGGACTATATGAGGTGTTAGCTTATAATAAGAAAACCTCAAACTTTTAATAAGAAGGAAATTCAAACTGCACAGAAACAGAATTTTCATAGCACAAGGTAGAATAATTGAAAAAAATCACTTCATTAGAATTTTTTTTTCATTCATTTGGACTAAACAAATTCTACAAGCACCGATTTTCTTACAAAATAGAAATTATGGTTTCTGAATATCCACAGACAGTATAAAAGGCAAAAATATTACTCACTAAGGCAAATTTTTTGTTGAGGATCATCTGCTCCACCAGGGACGTCTCATTGTGGAAGAGGTGAGGCTGCATGTGACTCCACATATGGGGAAACCACCAAAACTCATCTACCGACCTCAACAACAGGTCATCGCCTTCATCTTCCTCCTCAGTGCCTTAAAAAAAAAAAACAAAAACAAAAAAGAACAAAAAAACACTTTGAAGTAAAGTACTCCTATTATATTTTTAGGAACGCTTGAAACTACAAGCAAAATAAAATCAGCAAGTCAGCAAAATAAAGCTTGACCAATTAAAACGCTAAAAATTTTTAAAGGTTTCCAAGTACATATTCCTTTCCCTTATGTAATTATAGCCAGGCAAAAGACTGTGAGCCTCATTTGCATGACATCTTGAACGTACAGAACAACACTTCCCTCTCATTCTTGTGCTGCATCCATAACATCGGCAGCTAAGAGACAGAATAAGAGAAATTATATACAAGATAGTTTAGTAAATAGGATAAATGAAAACACTGACAACTCTTCTTGGTATTCCTTATCCAAATTCATTTCACTCTTCAACCAAACCTCCCGTGGCTACCTGTGGCATACGGAGGTATTCCTTCATCAGTCTTTTCAAAATATCATGCCTAATACAATTACTTTCTCCTCCCTGCTAATTCTTACCATTCTGAGCATGACTTATTCAGGAGTTGTCAAAAATCTGCATTTTTGAAGATACTTAACGGCTGGCTGGAACTCACTAGCTTATTGCTCAGACCCTGGGCCTGTCTTTTCAGGTACTTTTTTGCCTGTTCCTAATGATGTGGTGCCCCAGAATAGACCCTGCAGCAATTTCTAACGGCTGTTCTGATTACTAGCAATTGCTCAGGGAGCAGCGTTATAGCTGTGCTGCTCTCCTAGACCTCTCATGCTACAACTGCACCAGTAAATAAGGTAGCGACAGGGACCGTTCCCTGACCCTGAGCCAACTGGCCACTTCCAAGCTCATAAATTTTCGTAGCCAGCAAAGGAAGACAGCTGTATCCCTGCTGCTTATTAGGAACAGCCACTTGCCCATGCTCCCTCCCACAGTGCACCCAGGACCTGTTTGGAGAAAGCAGGCTCACCTGGGCCAGGAGCGCTCCAGAGACTATTTGCATAATTCAACAGCAGTGACAATCCAGTTTCAGTGCTCAGGCCTGGGCCTCAGCTCTATATAATTTAATAAGAGAGATTTAGCCTGAGCATCTGAGAGCACCTTGGGGAAAAGAAGGGCAGGGTTTAATTAGCTGACAGATCAGACCCCTGCTAGAGCCTAGATACTCATCCTAGTCCCAGTGCATTTTTAATGAGAGACTAGTTCTGTCAAAGGCAGTCAAATTTAAATAACCCATTAATGGGCTGCCTTGTAAAGACTGTATGAGCCAAACTTTGAGAAGGTATAGCTTAACAAATCTCCCGGCATGCCTACTTCCTGCTTAGCTAATTGTTCCTACTCCCTCTAATAAACAACACAACTTTACAAATCCCTTCTCTCTCTCAGCCTTTTGCATAACCTGTTCTCTTATTTTGTGGATATTGTTTGCTGAACATTCAGCTCCTACCTTTTCTGCACCAGTAACACCCATACTCTTGCTAAAACTACATCCCTTTTGCCTTCTCCTCTTTCTTTCAATAAACCTTGTCTGATATTCCTTCACTGGCGTAGTTTTATTGCTCTTTACCTCAAAGGGAACTAAAGCAGAGAAGGAAAAATGGGGGCAGATATATTTAACGATATATCAACACTTGTAGGCTCATTAAGTTTTAGGACTCCGGGTCCTAAAATGGCCCTATGCGACGGTCACATGCTACCAAAAAAAGTGGCTCAAGGTTACAAGATAGCCAGATCAGGGAGAAGAAATCGTATCAAGAACGCAACAGCACAGGATGGGCTGTAAAGGAGAGGCTCAACTCATTCAGTTTACAGCCAGGAACCGGGTCAATTTGTACTACAAATACGCCACATCCACCTCAGCCAAAACCAGGAAACCCACGCGCATGTTCCTCCCAAAGCATCTGAACTGTCAAATGCAGCAAAACAAATGGTCTGGAAAGTACCTTTGCCTGCTGAGACACTAGCAGGTGACGAACCTGGCAGGCGGGACCTTTTGGCTGGGCCACTCTAGGCAACAGAAAGGAGGAGGAAGGGATAGGAATGGACAGAACAAGTAGTGCTCTGAATTTGAAAAAGTTACGACGTCTCCAGTCTCTCTGGACTGTGCAGGTCACATCTGGATTGCAGGGATCAAACCTGGACATTTAGCACATCTAGCTGATCTCTTCTGAACCCAAGAGAGAGCCGTGGAGGGACTGTGCAGCCCCAGCAGCTTTCCTCTCCAGCTATTCAACTCTAAACAACAGATTTTTTCCCCTGCCTCCTCCTTGACCCTCCAGGTGTGACAAGTGATAGGGACCAAGATGCACAACTTCGCACAAGAACAGTTATGCCCACCCCTCTCCTATGCAATATGCATAGCAGTCAAGTATATTCAAGCCCTATATAAACTACTTTGGTTTTGAATCAATCCTGCTTTGTTTCCTAGTCTCAGCTAACATGTCACTTTACCCTCCTCATATCAATATCCTTCAGCTATGACATTATTTTGAATAGTCTTTGGTCTCGCTTTCTCAGGCTCTCATGTTGTCCTTTTCTGCAAGCATGTCTTTTTGTTTGTCAGCAGAGAACACTTTCTTTCTTCTATATCGCATCCTATTTAATGCCTTATCTTTCATTTCTCCTTATTTCTGCAGTGGTTTAGGCATAAAATTATTGTAATGGATAATATACTGCTACAATTTCTCAACTATCCAAACTCTCCAGAGGGATAAAATTTGTGGTAGTTCAACAGAGCTCTCAGTGAAGTCAGTAGGAAATTTGTTCAACTGGTGAAATTTATTGCTCAACAACAGGTTGAAGGGACCTGAATTTTATTAAAAAGGAAGGAGGAATTCAATCTATTGGAGACACCTAATGCAGCCACTACACCTTACCAGAATTTCAGGTGTACCGTCCTGAGATGTTCCGGCCCACCTAAAATTACCACCTAAATTTTCCATGCACTCAGGGAACAGATACAGAGAAAGATTAGTCCACCTATCCTACATGCTTCCTTCTCTCAGTTTCCAGCTTAAATTTCACATCCCGCTCTTTGAATGAAAGTATAAAGAATCAAGAAGAGATGTCTTTATTCCATTCTTAGGACTGATGTTATTGTTATCCAATGACAGGTATGTGTAAACATGTGTAAACTCTACAGAAAGCTGAATCTGGCATCCCAGACTTGGACTGCCTCTTGTAAGGTCTCCTCCAGGCCCTTTGATGGTGTTTCTGCATGTCCCTACTTACAAGGGGAGGAGGAACATTCCTCTTATTGAGGAAACTTAATGGTCTAACGGGACGCTTTCCTCAAGGGCCTAGCCTTCTCAGGCTTAGAAACTACCACCCTGCTTCTCCTGCTCCCTCTTCAATGCTCTGCTCACTGGACTATTACGCAAAGAATGCATACCACCATTTTTTTCTTAAGAGAAACATAGCTGCCAAGATGTATTTATAGACTTAACCTAGATGATGACTTCCAGATAGACTACAGCTAAAACAAAAGCTTAATCACGTATAAGAACTTTAGGAAAAAAAAAAATTAGTAAATCACACAATTTTATGTCCCAAAGCAAGCCAGAAGGAAATAATTTGCTTTTTTAGTTACACTATTACAAAGGTAACTCTTCTCTCTACTCAGACCCTTACTCCTTACAATTTTATTTAACAACACAAAGCTACATAATCCTTGTCTTTCCTGCTTCCCCTACAGTGCCAGCAAAACGAAAGTTATTTTAGTTGTTCATTCTTACCTGTGTGATAAAATTTCCCTGAAAATCCAAGGTTGAAAGTAAAATTTGTAATCTGAGCTCTCAAAAGATTCTGAGTGTCAAGCAGGGCCTGAAAAAAAAGGCAAAAAGTATATCTATAAAACCACACCTGCACAGAAATTTAATTTAACAATGTAAGTATTTTTTAAAGGCATACACATTTCCATGTGTTTTCTCTGTATAAAATCATCTGTTTATGTATGACAAAGAATGATAGATATTTTCCATTACCATTTAAAGATTAAAGACAATATGCACACCCTATCTTCCTTCTTGTAAAGATGACCAGCTATTAAATAAAGCTGTACTCTCTGAATCATTTTATAGCTAGGGAAACGAAGGTGCATGCCAGAGAGATCTTTCCCTGTTTACTCAGTAAACCAGAGACACAGCCAGGAATGAAATTCTGATCACTCGTCTCTCAGATCACGGTTCTACTCACTAGGGTGAATAGGACCTATTAGGATTATGTTTCTCTACATCAGGTGCAAGCACATACAAAACATTTTATTCATGTTTAAAAACTGCTGGCAAAAAAAAAAAAATATCCAGAAGGACAGAAAGAAGCTAGACGAAGCCTATTCTCCACTAAATAACTTAATCCTACCCCAAAATTCTGACTCACTTCTCAGACAGTTAGCATACTGGCTGTCAGCGTCAATGTACTTGGACTAAATTAGTACAAACAAAAACCCAGCATGCTGAAAGAAATGGGAAAGTTATTATTCATCAGATACAGCTTTACTCTTCAATTGCAATATGCTCTTCTTGATTTGTAACTCCCAAGATTTACAGATTACTCGGAGGAGTGCTCTCCCAAACTTTTCATACGGTGCTGTTATTCTCTCAGTTCCCCAGGTGTAACGAAGGAAGCTAGCTTTCCAGTATGAGCAAAACCTTTACAAGGCAAGAACAAAACGTATGAAAAAACCAAAAAGCTTCCTCTAAAACGACACTGAGTATACATTCCTCCAAATGGCCTGCCTTCAACTGAGCACTTGATAGTTGCTTATTTATGAACACAACAGACTCTTCAGAGCTTTGCAATGCTGCACACAGCGCATGAGAATTGTACGGCCAGCTAGAGCACACAGACACGCTCAGGCTCCGGCACTCACACAGACTGCTAAGTAGCCACACCTGTGAAAGAAAGGAAATTTATACACCCAAGGTCATCCAAGAGTTTTCAAAGTCAGCATATTTCAAAGTCAGCACACATTCTACCAACAATTAGTCTAATAAAGTGATTAAAACAATGCTCTTATCAGAAATGAGTAACTCTAACCACATTGTGAAAGAGGAATAGATTTAAAAACCACAAAAAAAAGTAAGAGATTTTCAAAAGTTTAAAGATCAAGTAGGCACCTTACTCTTGAAATTCAATGACAACTTGGGGCCTTGCAAAATATGACCCAGTAATTTTAATTATACATTTCTTTTGCCATTTTATTGATATTAGTAGTTTATTTCCAACTACTTTTTTAACTAGAATGCCAAAGTCAACAAAACGTTAGCACGGAAGTCTATTCCAACTTTAGATATAGGCAAAGCAGAGTTACGGTGGCTTAAAACATGGCCCAGTTCACAGTCGGAGGTAATATCCACCTTCTCAGACAGTTTCTGGGCACACAAGCTCTTCTTCAAGTCACTTACAGGGTTTACCTATACCAATTCTAATTAAAGCATGACCTCTATCTGCAAACTCTGTCAAGCCTATTTCCTTAAACTATCATACCAACTACATTACAATGACAAAATCGGGCCAAAAGTGACACTTCTCTGCGTACCAAACTCAAGAGAAGCCCAAGGCATCAGGCCCAGTGGAGCTCCCTACTCCCAGTAAGAGGTGGCCTGGCCCCATCAAGGGAGAGCAGCCCTGCCAGAAGTGGGAATACAGATGCTTTCCAGGCCTCTTCGCTGCCCTGTTTCTGGCGGCTACAGCAGCCCCTCACCTCCACAACTTCTTTCTCTCAGCAGCATCGTAGGGGCCAGAGATGAGAAGAGACAAGGGCAAAGAGCAGCACTGCCCCAGTTCTGGGGCTCAGAGAGTTCCCTTACGGCTCGGACTGGCTCATGGGAGTGGGTGCCTGAAGGAGCTGCTCTGCAGTAACAGGAGAGCAACTCGTTTTCGTGCCCATCCTGGAGGGCTGCAACATTTAATTATGCTGACACGGCTGACAAAACATGAGCAGTTTCAAGTCTGAGTTACCACTAGTACTTCCTCGTTTACCACTTCAGCAAAGCAGAATATTATGCATAAGCACATTTATTAAACATGTATTAATCACAAAGCTAAGCCTCTGAAAGAACTGTCACTTTTCTCCTTTTTCTTAAGGTCCACGTAGATCAGGAAGGGCATCATGCTGCTCTCCCACTAACTTGCCTCACCTATCGTCTTCTCCAGCAATGTAGCTCTAGCAACAAGACTGATAGGAGGTTTTTAATAACAGTATTAGTACGGCAAAGATCATCCTCTTTCACTGGGAAAGGAAACCCTAGAAATATCCTGTGAACAATGTATTTCATAAAGGAATGCGTACAATGAGACACGGAATGGAGATAACTGAAAATAAGCTAGAGGCTTCTGGAGCGGAATACATAGTGAAAAATCTCGCAACAGCGTAACAAGAACTTTTGAACAGATTAAGAGAGGAAAGATCACGCAGGAAACTTCTTTGATGAAAGGCAGCAAATCTGCAGAGTTTATTAATAAAATCATCCTGATGGGAACTGATTCAACAAAAGAATTTGTCTTTTTAGTGAGATGCACAGTTAAAAGTGTAGGAGGTAAATGATACAGCAATACACTTATTATATTAATGGTTCATATCTTTGAATATAAGAGACTCTGAGTACAGCTTGACCAAGATGACATGAATGGGCTACCACATTCTTTCCATCTGAATTAAGTCCAATAGGATCCACTGGAAGAACAATCCATACATTCAGAAAACCTTCAAGAAAGTGTGATTCTGAGGTGCTTGCATACCAGTGAAGTAGGTTCCTCAGAAACACAGCAAAAACTCAGATTCATGATTTTCCTGTGCTACATTACTTTAAAGAAGTTTAAGGGCAAAAACTACATCCACTCTGGTAAGAATTCTGCAGCACGTGCTTCAGGAAAAAGTAAAATTTAAGTCTCAATGAATAGCCCAGACTGATCATATGACTCTAATTATTTATTCCTACAATTTACAATTTTAATATCAAATATACTTTCTTACGACAACCTGCCAAAATAAAAAACTTTTTGGAGGACTACTGTGTGCAGCCTCTGGCTAGGCTATATTTATATCCTTTATGTTGTGTTTACTGCTGTGAGGCATCGATCTTTCAGCTGCAAAGAACTGTGACTATTTTTTGAGCTGAAGGTCTTTCTTAATACCTTTGTACCAACTTCCCAGCTTGTCAGCTCCCCTCTAGCCTGTGAGGGATGAAAAAACAGAATGAAACTGGAGAAACTGGAAACACTATAGAGAACACAACTCTGCTGTATCTTTGTGGCACACTGCAGTTATATAGTTGACAGGAGAGCCAGAATTCTTAATTTTTAAATGGCAGGAGAGAGGAGGGTACCAGAAAGCCTATACGTTTCTATGATAACGCTATTTAGATTTTACATTTTCACTTGGAATTACTTTTACTGGCACAGTGGTCACCTTCTTGCACCAGTGACAGCCTGGTAGCTGCATTTTCTTTAGGTCAATAGTCATGGTAAGACATTCCTTCAATCACTCCTAACTCCTGAATAACATTAAACTCTAAAGGAAATCTGGAGTTCATCTTCTAGAGAATGTTGACAGAGATCCTGTTGTTTTTTTGGCCACAATATTCTCATTAAAATCAACAGGAGTTGCTCTGTTAACATCTTGTGCTGTTTGAAAATGTACCAGCTAAAGCCAACAGTCTATCTGCTTACCTGCAGCACCCATTCTATCTGCAAAGAGGGAGTACACAGACCTACCGTGAACCATTTTTTGTACAGACAAGCTGAGATAAATTTGAGTTGTCATGCCTATGATTATTTTCTGGGTGACTTGACATTTTACTCATCTTTCAGGTTCTAAAAACAAAATGTTAAAACTCATGAAAAAAATATACTAGCAGATGGCAGGGACTATTACTGTGAGTTTCTATCAGACAGAAAGAGAGAGAGAGGCAGGGGGAGGAAGAGCCTGAAATTTCATTTCTAAATGCTATTTTATACGCTGAAGGTAAGCTGGTGATATTTTCTGTTATCTTTTCCAATTGTTTTATGAACGACCTCTCTGGGTACTGGTATGAGTTGTTATATAAATATGCCAGTACTAAAGATTATATTTTATAAACTGCTCAGTAAAACCTTCATATGTTTATAAATAATTATTTAGTACACGTTATATTTCTACTGATAGCGTAAGGAAAAGAAACTGCTAGCTGTGCAATCACTTTCATGTATGTAACTACAATGGAATCTTTTCTTTTCAACATTTCCTAGCTCATCTATTAGGTTTAGCAAATACCTTTTGCCAGAAATCAAATGAGCATTCAATATATGAGGAAAGACCCCCTTCTGTCCTAACTAAGTCTAAACTAAGCACAGAAAAAGGCACCATTATAATCCAAGGAATAGATGAAAACTGTCCTGACAATGAAAAAAGAGAGATCCTTCAATCCCATTATAATATAATGACAGGAATATAAGAAATCATATATGTTGTAAGAAAGGCCAGGTTGTCAGATGGTTATTCAGCATAATACCATTTAAGTTACTTCAATTTCATTTCTGATTTAACATCGCAGCAAATGTAAGGCACTGTAACCAATGAGATGTCATCTGACTGAGAATTTCTGAGAAAACGGACCCTAAGACCACAGACGGAACAGGAGGAACCAGGAGAATTAAGACAGTCACACACACACACACACACACACACAAATATTTAAATTCCTGCCTTCCTACGGATGGCCTCCTTCCTTTTTCACAGCCGTTATATTTAGCTCTTTTACCACCTTCCGTTCAGAAATGTCAACCCTGTTTATAAAGGAAACAGTTTTATTTCATTTTTCTCATCTTACAGACAGGACAAA